TCCTTCCTTCCTTCCTTCCTTCCTTCCTTCCTTCCTTCCTTCCTCCTCCCTAACTCATTCCTCCTATCGTCCAATTGGTTTCCTGTTCTGATTCTCTAACATACTCCTATTTAATCCTATTTACTCTTATATACTCCTTTGTCAGGTCGATGACTCTCCTCTCTCTCTCTCTCTCGTATTCCCGGCTTCGTGATGACGCTCTTATAAGACCTCATCATAACTGTGTCATCTGAGACAATGTAATTTGCTCTACATTCAGAGACGTAAAGAAAATCTTGCTCGTATAAACTAACTCGTTTTTTGTTGTGTTACGATAAACAGAGAACGAGGCTGGTGTTGAAGGTACTCGAGAAGTAGATGAAGGATGAAGTTATTGAAGTAAATGATAATAAAGTATATTACATGTTATAATTTGATATAGTCTAAGGGTGTTATCTAATATAGGTTACGTACATATATACACATACATGTTTATTGAATACACACACACACACACACACACACACACACACACACACACACACACACACACACAGCACAGTAATAAAATACGTATATAAAATCAGAGGAAAATAATATATATATACAATACTTTACCTAAAATTTTATAACAGTACATTTGACCTGTTGTACGACCGTCTTCCACGAACTACTTATAAAGAAATAATCAAATAACTTCAAAACCAGAAAAAATGCTCAAAAGTACCAGTAAATAACAGTATGAAGTAAAGTTACAATAATTTACAAGGTGGTGTTACATAAATGTGAAATAACTAACGTAATTGTATATATACAACAATAATATATGAGGCAGGTGAAGAGGAATACATCTATAGTAATAATTAACACACAGTACACCTACCCTTTCCTCCCCCCCACTCTCCCTTTACGTCCCCCTCCTGTAATTCCCTCCCAACACCTAACCCCTCACTTCATCTAACCACCCATCACACTTTTCCCCTCTTAACCACCCTACAACCCCCTCCCTTCACATCTAACCACCCCCTCCCCTCCTCCCCTCCCCAGCCACCCTATAATGGTTATAACCACTTACCCTAATAACCTCCTTCCCCAACATCCTTCCTTCCTTCCTTCCTTCCTTCCTTCCTTCCTTCCTTCCTTCCTTCCTTCCTTCCCTAATACTCAAAGTGCTCACAAACCTGGATCAATACCTTCATCTGATATAGCCCGAAATACCAGACTATCTTCCTTTAGTATTGAGTCTCGCGTAAGATTAAATGTTCAAACTCGCCTACATTAACCCACGTTTACCCATACCTACCCACAGTCACCAGACAATAACCCCCAAACTTACCCACAACCACCCACATTCATCCACACTCATCCACACTCACCCACACTCACCCACACTCACCCACACTCACCCACACTCACTTTCATTTTTTTTTCCACAATTATTTCTATATTTATTTTTTACATCTTCACTTGATTTTGAAGTTAAAGTTAGGTTAGGTTAGGTTAGGTTAGGTTAGGTTAGGTTAGGTTAGGTTAGGTTAAGTGAGAAATTTGAAGATTATACTTATACATATTTCTCAAGACGATTTGTATGTTGTCTTGTGTTCTTGTTATATTTCCTCAGTATCACAGGGAGCAAGACTTCGGGGAGAGGCAGTCCAGGGAGAGGCAGTCCAGGGAGAGGCAGTAATAAGGGTGCTTTGGAGGGCTTCAGTCGTTCTCCTACCTTGTTCTTCCTTTAAGTCCCTGGAGGCGATACCTGTTGGGCAGATTGAGGGAAGGACTCCGCCAGCTTATTAATATATTGACAACAAACTTTTCCAAGATGAAGTTGTTGAGGGAGTCTTAGAAGAGTCTGGACACGTTATGAAACCTAAAATGAAAATTCGGCTTATGATTGATTAGTAGGTTAGGTTGGTTGTGGTTAGGTTAGGTTAGGTTAGGTTAGGTTAGGTTAGGTTAGGTTAGGTTAGGTTGGTTGTGGTTAGGTTAGGTTAGGTTAGGTTATTTTACTCGTGTCTCTCCCATGTCCTTGTTATCTATCACCCATATTAACCCACATCCACTCACACTCAATCCACATTCACCCATACTTACCCACATCCATCTACACTCATCCACATTCACCCACACTCACCCAAGCTCACCACCCAACTAGTGAACACCCGATAGAAACAGAGAAACAGGATAAAAAGAATAATAATCAAAATACCCAACGTTAGTAAATCAAAGTAAAACCCGTAAACGAGGAAAGTTTCGTGACTGATAAATAATTCGGTTGATGTTGATTCCTGTGCTGGTAAAGGTTTAATGGCCTACTTACCTACACTCCCTCTTACCCCGTGTCACTTGGGATTAGCACCGTGTGAGGCCAATAAATACTAATACCGAGTTAGGCCTTGTTGTGTTGGAGGGTTGGGGCGTGGTGATGGGGGAGAGGGAGATGGGGAGGAGGTGATGGGTGTAGTGGGGGTAGAAGGGGAGGTGAGGGAGATGCAGATGTGTTGTGATGGGGGTGGTAGAGGGAAGTGGGGAGGGGGTGGTGGCGAAGATGTAGGGGGAGGAAATATGGTTGTTGTGGGGAAGAGGGTGTGTGTGTTGTGTGGAGGGGAGGTGGTTATTGGGGTAGAGGAGGGAGATAGGGTTGGTGGGTAGGAGAAGGGAGGGAGGGAGGAGTACTAGGTGAGAGAACGGAGTGGAAAGAGAGAGAAGTGGGAGAGGGGGAGGGGAGGAGTAGTGGGTAGAAGAAGGGAATGGGGGAGAGGATTGATATGGATGAGAGATGTGTGTGTGTGTGTGTGTGTGTGTGTGTGTGTGTGTGTGTGTGTGTGTGTGATAAACAACTAAAAGTAATAATTCATCATATATTTTAATCTCAACTTTACTTTTCTATTTTTCATATTTAATTTTATTTAATTTACACAAAAATACACCGATACACTCATACACAGATACACTCATACACAGACACACTCATACACAGACACACTCATACACAGACACACTCATGCACAGACACACTCATACACAGATGCACTCATACACCGATACTCTCATACACAGATACACTCATACACAGATACACTCATACACAGATACACTCATACACAGATGCACTCATACACAGATGCACTATACACAGATGCACTGCCAACTGATACACTATACACAGATACATACTCATACACAGATACACCTATACACAGATACACCTAAGTACACAGACACACTATACACAGACATACACAGACACACTCTGCACAGACACACTATACACAGATACACCTTACACAGATACACTCATACACAGATACACTCATACACAGATACACTCATACACAGATACACTCATACACAGATACACTCATACACAGATACACTCATACACAGATGCACTCATACACAGATGCACTCATACACCGATACTCTCATACACAGATACACTCATACACAGATACACTCATACACAGATACACTCATACACAGATGCACTCATACACCGATGCACTCATACACAGATACACTCATACACAGATGCACTCATACACAGATGCACTCATACACAGATGCACTCATAAACAGATACACTCATACACAGATACACTCATACACAGATGCACTCATACACCGATGCACTCATACACAGATGCACTCATACACAGATACACTCATACACAGATACACTCATGCACCGATACACTCATACTTAAATTTATCTCAATACCGACTGCCATAAAAGTTAATTACATATAATGCATCGGGTAACAAGTCTCTGGTAGTGAAACGCGGTGACCAATCTCCGTAGAGTTATGTTGCAATATTTTTTTACTTAAATCACAAAAGCTCGCTATATTTTATTTCTTATTCCTTTTTTTTTTGCTTTTTTGTTTCTTTGTCTATCTTGTTTTCTGGTTTTGGTTTATTTCATGTTTATTATTATGTTGTTTAGTTATTCTTGCTGTTTTTCCTTCTTTGTGGTTTATTACGGTTTATAGTATGTTTATTTTTTTCTCATGATTAATTTTAGTTTATTTGTTTCTTCTTTTTCTTCTTTCTACTATAACCTCTCTTTCTCCTCCTTATTATCTATCCCCTCTTGCTCCTCCTCTTTTTTTTATTTTGTCTCTCCTCCTTCTACTCTAATTATTCTTTTTCCTACTCCTCTTCAAGCCTCTTTTTTCTCCTCCTCCTCCTCTACCCTCTCTTCCCCTACCCTCTCTTCCCCTCCTACATGTCCTCCACCCTATCTTCCTGCTCCTTCTTCCTTCCCCTTCTTCGTTTTTGTTTTCTGTTTCCTCGCCGTCTTATTTAACTTCTTCCCCCCTTCCTTCCCTCCTGCGCTTCAAAGTCCTTTCACCACACCACACACGGTCAAGCACCATCTTCGCTTGTTGCCATTACACCTGTTTCTCTTCTTCTCCTTCTATTGCATTTTCATCTTACTCTCTCCTTCTCTACCTTTCATACACAGGACACCCAAGTACCAGTGTATAAAATGTGTACATAACCACTGTACGTCCGTGTGTATATTACGGACACATAACTACTGTACGTCCATGTATATATAAAGTACACATAACTACTGTACGTTCGTGTGTATATGGAGTACCCTCATGTATACTCGCATCCCAAGTATACCAAGAGCTCTCCCGACACCTACAGAGAGAACAGATGCTCACATGGAGAATATTACACACTGTTGACCCCTGGATGACACGTGGTTGACACATGAGTGATCCCTAAATGACACATGGTTGACCCCTGGACGACACATGTTTAACCTCTGGACGACACATGTTTGACCTCTGAATGACACGTGGTTGACCCCCGGATGACACATGATAGGCACCTGGATGACACATGGTTGACCTCTTGTTGGTCGACGTTGTACTCTCACACTGGATGAATAACACAGAAGACCGAGTGACTGAATGAGTAATGTGTACAACTAACAGTGAAGGCAAACAGGTAACGAAGAAGGCACTCAGGCAGTAACGCAGGCAAACAAGCAGGCACCCAGGTAGGGACGCAAGCAGGCACCCAAGCAGGCACCCAGGCAGGCACCCAGGCAGACACCCAAGCAGGCATCCAAGCAGGCACCCAGGCAGACACCCAAGCAGGCATGCAGGCAGGCAGCAGGCAGGCGCGAGCAGACACCCGGGCAGACACCCAAGCAGGCGGCAGGCCAAGCAGGCATCAGGCATCAGCAGGCACCAAGCAGACAAGCAGGCATCAGGCAGGCGCAGGCAGACGCAGGCAGGCACTGGCAGGCCAAGCAGGCGCAAGCAGACCAAGCAGGACCCAAGCAAGCAGGCACCCAAGCAGGCATCAAGCAGGCACCCAGGCAGACACCCAAGCAGACACTCAAGCAGACGCTCAGGCAGGCACCCAGCAGGCCAGGCAGGCACCAGGCAGGCACCCAAGCAGGCACCCAAGCAGGCACCAGGCAGACACCCAAGCAGGCCAAGCAGGCACCCAAGCAGGCATCAGCCAGGCAGACAACCAAGCAGACACTCAAACAGACGCTCAGGCAGGCACCCAAGCAGGCACCCAGGCAGGCACACAAGCAGGCACCTGAGCAGGCATCCAGGCAGGCAAGCAACTCATTAGCATCCATAATGTGTCTAAAATACACCCAATACCCGAGTTCCCAGGGGCGCCACTCTCCTGACGAGGACCTCCTACTCTCGCTAACGAAGGTGCGAACTTCCCTACTCCCGGAGAATATACTCAGCCACTACGACAGTCCGCCAGAACACCTCCAGCTGACGGGTAATATTCCTCCACCATAATCGTATTACATTGTTCAAGTGGCGTGGCGCAGTCTATCCCCCCTCCTGACATACACACACACACACACACACACACACACACACACACACACACACACACACACACCTTATCCTTCTCTCCTACTGTATATCGCTTGTTTTAATATCCTCCTACGAATGCTATTTAATTTGTGTGACCTCATTCATGAAGTGCGGAGGCCATGTGGATACTACGCTAGCTATATGTCCTTAGGGTCAGTGGTTCGATCCTGGGGGCACTCTCAGTCCATCCAGCTGTAACTAGGTACCTAACTTTAGAATTGTAGTGTCGACCTCGCTGCGTCCTGGTGGTCATGACTACGGGACAGTTGGGCATCTTTTTTTTTTCCCTCGTTTAAATCGACTCATTTCCTTTTTTTAATCACCCTTTACCCATTCTCCTCCTTTTCGTTGCCTTTTTACTCTCTCTCTCTCTCTCTCTCTCTCTCTCTCTCTCTCTCTCTCTCTCTCTCTCTCTCTCTCTCTCTCTCTCTCTCCAGCTTAACCAAATTTTTGCTTCATGACAAAAAAAAATAATTGAGTAGTTTTCTTCGCAAAAATTTGCTCCCACTTTCATTACCGAGGATTTAAAAAAAGTGGAGAAGCGGAAGGGGATGAGGAGAAAACAAGGCGGAAATTGAAGAGAAAATGGGAAGATAAACAGACGATGAAGAGGAGGAGGAGAAGAGGTAAGGTAAGTGATGAAGAAAAATAGAAGGAGGAGGAAGAGAAGACGAAAAGAGGAGGGGGAAGAGGAGTAAGATGAGAAGAGAAAAAAATGAGGAAGGAAGGAAGGAAGAGAAAGCGACGACAGAAATGGGAAAGGGAGAAGGAGGAGGAGTAAGAAGACAAAAGACTGAAGGAGGAACTGGAAGAGAAGAGAAAAAAATAGTGAAGGGGAAAGGAGGAGGAGGTGAAGAAAAAAGAAAAGACACATTTTATCGCCCCAAATTTTCACCTCTTGCGCGGCATATTTACACACCATTTATATGTTGGATGTATGATGACAGTGTACCATTGGTTGTGATCACGCAGTATGGAGGAGGAGGAAGAGAAGAAACTGAAGAGAAGGAGATGGTAGAAGAGAAGGAGGAAGAAGAGAAGGAAAACCCGAAAAGGAAAGCGAGAGAAGAGGTTCGAGGAGGAAGACGAAGAGAACGAGGAAGGGAATATGGGTGACAAAATAATTAACTACGGGGAAGAAAATAGAAAGAAGAGGAAAGAAAGAGGAGGAGGAGAAGAAGGAGGCTAAAGATGAAAAGGAAAAGAGAAAAAACAGTAGGAAGAGAAATGATCTACTAATGCCATTAATAGATCTAATGTGTCGTTACTGTAAAATATACAGAATTGTCTACGTCGTCCATACGAAAAAAACACTTTATCTCAAGTCCTACAATTCGGAGGCAAAGAACTATTAACGTACTTTCCACTCCATGAAATAACACAGCTTGTTTGGTTAGGTCAGGTCAGGTTAGGTCAGGTCAGGTCAGGTTATTTCAATCTTATTTGTACTCAAAGTTTTTGGGGTGGTCGAGTGGATATGGTACTCGTCTTCTATCACTCTGGTCACTGACTCTAGTTTCATGGGGATGGCCAATGAGTGAGGCGCCCAGAGTCGACCCAGTTGCAGCCAGGTGAAATTAGACGGTAGCGTATCCTTACAATAATAGTATATTATATGTATACTGAAAGTGTGTGTGTGTGTGTGTGTGTGTGTGTGTGTGTGTGTGTCTCCATCTCTAGTTTTTCACACCTCATTCATCCATTATTCGCGTAGTCCTCCACCATCACCACTATCATAACCAAGAACCAAGACCACCTTCATCACCACCACTTCTATCACTACCAACACCACTATCACCGACAACCACCACCATAACCACACACCATGATTTACAATAATAAATTTCCTCTCATAAAACACATTTTCTTTTTATCTTTAATTCTGTATAATTCCTTCATAAGTTAAGTCATATTTGAGTCCATATAATTGGGTACCTGATATATTTTTCCTATAGTGGTGTTACGCTAAGAACATTATGGTGGCGACAGTGTTATGGAGGGGGAAAGGTGATGTGAGAACTGTATATGTAGAGTGGCTGTCATATACGTGCACACACACACACGCACACACGCACACACACACACACCCTGTACACATGAGGAAGTCCACCCGGTTTTACTAATTACATATTATATTTTACCTTTAAGGAAATAGATTTTTTTTAAATATAACTCAATTTCAATGACAAAAGTACAGTAAAAATGAAGTTTATCGCAGTACCATAAATCATTACTAACTTTTCAATGAGTTTGTGTCACTAAACTGCTTATGAATTAGTGTAGGGCGAGAGAGTCAACCCGTGCGAGTTTTAATGGTAAACGAGACCAGAGAATTGACAGACACACTATTACCTGTCTCTCAGGTACCTGCCCGAGAAAGGGAAGACGACAAACATTGATGCCTGAACTAAACATCTATGGCCTCTAATTCACTTATATGTTATAGATTGTACTATAATGTTTACTTAAAACCGAAATGACAAACACTATTACAACCACTGAACGAAACAAACAAAGGGATTATCATGTAAACAAACTGCCCATAACAAATGTTGAACACCTTTAATTAAAATTCCTCTCATATAGAACTTACTAATTTGAATTTGAAAGGAAATCATTGAATATTGGTATCCAGCAAAATTGGTGTGTCATCAAATGCAAATCAGTTTTACATCATCAATATATATAAAATTATATATGTCTAGTTTTTTTTTAATCACATCACAGTATTATATCCGTCAGTTAAGAACAGCCATACAACTCAGACATTACACTAAATCCCTTTCCCCCTATTTCAAACCTTATGCCTGCAATCACTTAAATATCAAACGCAAAATGGCTTTCAGGTCCATTTAATGCATCGTGATTCAGGGTGATTGGCCAACCTGCTGACGACGACAGTGGTATGATATGGTGCATTCAGATCAATAATTAATTTTGTGAGCTGAGGAGAATATGGTGTTGAGTGACTTTGATCCTGGAGGAGGGTGGGAGTGATGGAGGGTGGGAGTGATGGAGGGTGGGGGTGATGGAAGGTGGGAGTGATGGAGACTTTAGACTTTGGTTACAGGACCTCTAGATTCAATAGGTCCTGTAACTTAATCCTAAGCTCACTTAGTAAGGGACGATCTTGGGAGTCAGGACTTAGCATAGTTTCGGCAATCTCATTCACCTGCAATGGCAGATCCCACCAGCGGTCGCTCCCCCTCCTTTTCATTAAACTGCCAGCAGCGTATACATCCTGACTCACCTCCGCTGTGGCGTGAGGCGCGTACAACTCTGGAGCGTAGTGACAACTCTTAGTTTTCAATAAGGGCAAAGGTGTGCCGATTTTTTTGGATAACCCAAAGTCGATTAAACTGACTTTCAATTGGCCAGTTAGTGTGTTTTCGTTTACTATTATGTTGTCTCCTTTAATGTCGCCGTGAATATACCCTAACTGGTGGACCTCTGACAGACACTGGAGCACACCTTTACAGCCTTCAATAAATTTATGAGGGGTGCAATTTAGGGCAAATTTATTGAAAATTACACCCTCAGTGTACGTCATTATAAAGACAGGGTACTCTTTACATAGAGCGAGTATCCTGGGGGCACCTCCAGCACCGTTTAACTTACAAAGGAGGAACGGTTCACGCCAAAACTCGAGGCACAGATCTCTGTTTTGAAGCACACGAGTTCATCATAAACCTCTATCAGCTCCACTATTCCTGAAATACCTTCACCAATTTTTTGGTTCACTGAACCAACTTCTCTTAAATAAAAAAAAAACTTTTGAGAAAATTTCAGGACGAGTCATATTGGAACATGGTTGTGTCAAATGGTGTATATTTATTTGAGGGTGAAATAGTTCTGGTGTTGTAGCCATCATGAAGTACTGGTGTTTTCGTGAACATGTTGTACTGATGTGATGAACATGTACTGTTGGTGATAGTGAGCGTGCAGTACTGATGTTATAATGAACATGTACTACTGGTGTTGTAGTGAATGTGTAGTACTGGTGTTGTAGTGAACATGTGGAACTGGTGTTGTAGTGAACGTGTAGTACTGGTGTTGCAGTGAACGTGTAGTACTGGTGTTGCAGTAAACGTGTAGTACTGGTGTTGTAGTGAACGTGTAGTACTGGTGTTGTAGTGAACGTGTAGTAATGGTGTTGTAGTGAACGTGTAGTACTGGTGTTGTAGTGAACGTGTAGTACTGGTGTTGTAGTGAACGTGTAGTACTGGTGTTGTAGTGAACGTGTAGTACTGGTGTTGTAGTGAACGTGTAGTAATGGTGTTGTAGTGAACGTGTAGTACTGGTGTTGTAGTGAACGTGTAGTACTGGTGTTGTAGTGAACGTGTAGTACTGGTGTTGTAGTGAACGTGTAGTACTGGTGTTGTAGTGAACGTGTAGTAATGGTGTTGTAGTGAACGTGTAGTACTGGTGTTGTAGTGAACGTGTAGTACTGGTGTTGTAGTGAACGTGTAGTACTGGTGGTGTGTAGTACTGGTGTTGTAGTGAATGTGTAGTACTGGTGTTGTAGTGAACGTAGTGAACATGTGGAACTGGTGTTGTAGTGAACGTGTAGTACTGGTGTTGCAGTGAACGTGTAGTAGTACTGGTGTTGTAGTGAACGTGTAGTACTGGTGTTGTAGTGAACGTGTAGTAATGGTGTTGTAGTGAACGTGTAGTACTGGTGTTGTAGTGAACGTGTAGTACTGGTGTTGTAGTGAACATAAAGGTGGAATTTGTTGTGTATTTTCTCTATAAATTATCTTCACCACCTTTCAGAATTCTGTTGTTGTCGAATTAATTCACATTGTTGGTTCGATGTTTTATTTTTCTTCAAATAAAAATATTTCCATTACATTAAGTTATTTATTTTTAGTCTGTGTTCTTTTTCCCTCCATAAAAAATGAAAAATAATAAATTCGTAT